TGGTTAGTTAGCTGCACCATATCTGGATCTGCAGTAACTTACTCCTCACTTAAAGGGACAAAGAATTGAGGGTGACACTGTCCATTACAGGTGTGTCTCTAAGGATCATTGTCTTTTGTAGGTACTCCAATTACTCACTATGTCTTGCTTGGGAATATTCCTAAAGGCACTGTAAGGTAGATCAACATGGGGTTACTGCAACCTACTTTTTATGTAACCTGTCACTCTGGGGATTCCTCATCTGTATGATAGTGCCCAGGCTCCCTATACAATGCATGGGAAGACTTAGGTGTCAAATAATGTGCTTTAGAGATGGCACCATACAGAAGGGGCACTTGCCTAAGATAGCCAGTAGAAATTATAGGAATCAGGAGCATTTCATTTCACAGGTGAGAGAGTTCACTGAAAGGTGTAATGTAGGAGCAGAATAGCACAAATATTTTCCTGATAAAAAGGAATGTAGAGGCTCACCCTTCCTAGAGGCAATTGTTGTACCACAAGTTCTTCTCATTTTCAAACACTTCTCCAACTCTTTTAAAAATGTTTTTACTAATATCTTCCATTGCTGCTCTTTTTAAATTTAATTGATCTGTTATATCAGTGTTAAGAAATTTCACTTAAATTCTTTTGATGCCAATCTTTCCATCTAAATGCAGACCCTCCATTTGACGACAGTTGTTCACACAGTCTTGAAGCCTCTGTCATCCATATTCCATTAGAGACCATTATTTTACTCTACTGTGGTCCACTAGCTACTAATTTATTATACTCTAATGCGGTCCACTAGCTATTCTTTTGGATAAAACAATAGAGCAAATTATCTAGATAATGACTATCAGCCTTGATTCCCTACAGGTGTCCTTTGAGATTTCAGTAGCATCCTTTTAACCATAAGGGGACTAATTTCACGCAGGAGTATTATAAATGAACTTTCTGGTCCTTGATACAATACTAAAATACCCTCTGACACATTCAAAGGGACAGATAAGGTTTCGTGTATCACTCAGGTGCAGAATTCCATCAGGAAAAAGTGAAAAATAGATGCAACTTCCCCATAACTGTAAGTCTGAAAAGAATTGTGGTATCTCAGAACATCAAAAGATTAGATTATTTTCATGTAGACAATTGAATATGGATTATGTGAACACTTTGGACAACAGTTTAAGAAGGTTATGCACCATTTCTTCCATATCCTAGTTGGTGTTATGCATGATAATTCAAACTCATTTCCCTTTTTTTTTGATTTTCTCTATCCAAAGAGAGTAAAAGTTGGACCTCCCAAAACTGGGACCCTCTGGTTCAGTAACATCTGTGGTCTGGCAGGACCACTGATGTTCATAGACCAGGGAGTCCTTGCTGGGACCTCCAATGGTAAGAGGGCTGGTGGCTGGAAGCCCAGAGGGGCTGGGGCTGGAAGGGCATAATAAGTGGGTTTCACAGAGGTCTGTTCTGGGACCTGTCCTGTACAATATTTTCATCAACAATTTAGATGGTGGCATAGAGAGGACACTCATTAAGTTTGTAGATGATACCAACCTGGGAGGGGTTGCAAGTGTTTTGGAGGACAGGGTCATAATTCAAAATGATTTGGACAAACTAGAGAAATGGTCTGAAGTAAACAGGATGAAGTTTAATAAGGACACATGCAAAGTGCTTAGGAAAGAACAATCAGTTTCACACATACAGAATGGGAACTGATTGTCTAGGAAGGAGTACTGAAGAAAGGGAACAAGGGGTTATAGTGGACCACAAGATAAATATGAGTCAACAGTGTGACAGTGTGACACTGTTGCAAAGAAAGCAAACATGGTGTGGGATGCATTAACAGGAGTGTTGTGAGCATAGGAAGTCATTCTTCTGTTCTACTTTGAACTGATTAAGTCTCAGTTGGAGTGTTGTATCCAGTTCAAGAAAAATGTGGAGAAATTGGAGAAGGTCCAGAGAAGAGCAACAAAAATGATTAAAGGTCTAGAAAACATCGGCTATGAGGGAAGACTGAAAGAACTGGGCTTGTTTAGTTTGAAAAAGAGAAGACTGAGAGGGGACATGAGAGCAGTTTTCAAAAAGGTGCTACAAGGAGAAGGGATAACAAATTGCCTAGGAAGATTGTTGAAACTCCATCCCTGGAGATATTTAATAGCAGATTGGATAGACATCTATCAAGGATGATCTCGACGGTGCTTGGTCCTGCCATGAGGGCAGGAAACTGGACCTGATGATGTCTTGAGGTCCCTTCCAGTTCTAGCACTCTATGATTCTATGATTCTGTGATCTCCTATACTCAGTGCTATTGGAAGTCCTGATAGAAAACTGGAGGAGCTGGAACTATGTATAAAAAAACCTCATATTCTTTTCAAGGCATAGTAACTAGTAGTATTTCTACATTGACATATCCAATATTGTAATTGAGGCCTACTCAGTGGTTTATAGAACTACTTTTTTTATCTGCATTGCATTCCTTTGCAATATAACCTAGCTTCTGTCTGTCCTGTTGACTTTCAGATGTAGTTTGGGTTGGAAGTCTGAGAGATTTTAGTAAAATTTATAGTCTCCTCTGCCCAACTCCATAGTCTTTAATCTTATTTTCTGAGGTAGAATTCTATCAGTTCTTTGAAGGGTCTGTATTTTTTTTTCTAATGAAGCATTGCAATTCTTAAATTTAAGATAGACAGTGGTTCCTCGATGCATATAATTAAAAAATACATTTGAGGATGGTATAAACTATCTATGTTTTGTCAACACTACCCTGTCAAACTACAGGGCATTACTAGCAGTGCACACCAAAGTGCTGCTCTGTTACTCCTTTTGTGGAAACAAATTTAAAAGTTTGTGATTTGCATTAATGTAGTTGTGTTTGAAGAGGACTACATTAACACAAACTAGGAACATTTTAGTTTGCCTCCACATGGAGGAAAGTATACCAAATTGGTATGCACTTCTCTGTGTGTGCACATAGTCAGAACTTTGGAGCAATGTAGTCAAACCTTATGGAGACTATGGTAGGGGTAGGGTTGTATAACAGAATGTAGGAGAAGACATTACAGGCAGTCCCCGGGTTACGTACAAGATAGGGACTGTAGGTTTGTTCTTAAGTTGAATTTGTATGTAAGTCGGAACTGGTACATATTGTAGGGGAAACTCTAGCCAAACATTTCTCCAGAACTCAGTTTTATTCTCCCACACCTCACTTCCCTCAGTCCTTTATTCGCAAGCTGAGGTGTCTGCTGAGAAAAGCCACTCCGCGGCTCCCTGGTCTGCTGGGGGGGGGCACTAGCTTCGCGTCTCCCTGGTCTGCTGTGGGGAAGCAGCTAGTGCAGGTTGCCT